GAATAAACCGTAGGCCCCGTGTCCTGCAGGGTTAGGGGTAGGAGACGTTAATTTCCCACGCACGAGACTACTGTGTGGTGGATGTCTTCCCCTGGGGTGGGATGGGTGGATATTGGTCCTGAAATGGGGAGTGGTCAATTAACCTATGTATGTATGTATATATGTATGTACACACGGACCGAGCGCAAATGATCAACAGCGGTTGAAAATTTCGTTTCAACGAGCATAAATAGGACGCGATACACGAGCGTGCCCGGGACAACTGCAAAAAAAATTTACAGCAAAAGATCTTCCCTTACTTTTTTCGAGTCAGACTAGAACCTTACAATTCATCGAAAAAACGCGATTTTTTTAACTCTTCTCTTTTCCCCCTTCCTTTTACAGCAAATTATAGTCGTGTCAGTACAGGGTCGGATCCTATTTCCGATCCTGACCGGCTCAGGTCAACCCGTCCGGCTCTACACGCGTCCACTTTCACTATCATAGTGGTTTTCTATGGGGTTACACGCGTGGGGCCGTACGGGTCATTTTGATAATTCTCCACAGCTCTGTGATCAACTTACCGGGGGTAAATGTAACACTAAGACTGCCGACAGTTCCACTCGCTATGAATGGCCATGGAGATATTTTGATTTTTGCGGTATTGTCATGAACACCTGCCGAGAAATCGAAAATTTCACTTAAATTCCCATCATAGTTTTCCATGCAATCTTGAAAGTTTTGCAAACTCGTCAGAAAATAAAGATTATAAACAGTTTCGAGAACGTTAAAAATTTATGATAGGATGATAACCTAGTGACCAGGTAACTGTCTTTGCTAAAGAACCTAAAATTATTTGCCTTCATTGAAGCTCTGAATAAACCCATGCACTTGACTCTGTCTTTCTGCATCCACCTTGGAAGGCTGACGGTAAAATTGTGCGACACAACGAAAAAACGAGGGGTGGGGAGAAAGTCAGGCGACAGTTCCCCTTCCCCCTTCTATTTCGATTTTGCTTGTCTGATTTTTGAAGTTGACTAATATACTGGTTGTTATCTATCGCCAAGGGTGAGAGGTGGTGGGGAAGAATTTAATTGTGTCCTAATAAAATCTACCTCATCCCCCACAAGGCTCTGTAGTATTGTGATGTTCCCTCTTCGTTGGCAATCAATATTATATATGGTTCCCTCTCCTCCCTTTATACTATTTAAGTGCCAACTCGATCTCCCTCCAATCCCTTAAACCATATGATACCCCCTCTAAAATCCTCTTGTTCCCCCTCCCCCCCCTCCACCATTCAGGCGATGTATAATGACTGCTCCCTAACTGCTGCAAGCCAAGACGTTGACGTTTGGTTTATTAATTTATCGCTTTCATTCGCATGTCACCGTAAGAGTTTTTGAAGCCATTTAAGATTTTGATGCCTTATTCCAGAAATTTTCACTCAGTCGACTCCGAATTCCGACCATACTTATAATCCATTTTTATAACATAGGAAAATCCACAGAGTTCACAAAACAGGCTCAATAAAAATGAAAAGAAACAACTAACCTTCACAGATTGATGCATTTTTAAATTCCAGTCCGGAGGGATATCCCGCTCCTCCACTGATAACAAAAAGGAACAAGTTCAGGGCGATAGTTTGCCACTGGCGATTGGCCGGATTCATCTTTTTTCTTTGTATCCATTAGAGAGAAAAATAGAAACATGATTTAACGTAGGACGCAACATATCGATGTCGTATTGATGAAAATAACTATTATTCCAATCTCCGCGTAAATCAAGAGGCAAGTAAAAAGAAGTAAGAGAAGTTGATTGAAAGCTGAGTCAATTTTCCGCTCGTGTTAAGGTGTATCGATCCACTTTAAAAAATGTGTTACGTTGCACTTGAAATTGCTTTTGTCACTTAATCGATAATCTGTAAGGTAATTAACTTGAAACCAACATTGCAAGATATCCAGTTCGTCCGTGTCAACCCTCTGATGAAATTCAGGCCTCTAGAGTAGACCTCAGAGGTTACGCTTTCTCAACTTACATTTTTGTCGTCTTGACCAAAACATGTCATCATAGTAACCTCAAACCACAGGCTGTAAAACATTACACATCAAATTTTATCACAGAACTACTAACCAGCAGTTATTGTTCTCAAAACTGAGTCACACCACAGGAACGCGCACTAGAATTAGATTTAAAAAAATTGTCATTGGAATAAGGGTTTGCATGGGGCATTAGCGTTCTCGGTTTACATTCTCTTGAATAATAACAAACATCCTCTAGATATAATATTCGACAACCCCGTCATCAAGACGGTTATCTATTATAATAATTCAGAAATCGTTCTTCATCCTCAGTCGCAGTGAACCGTTTTGAAAAGAACGAACATTTAACCCTATTTACTCATTTCAGGGACGAAAGTTATCAGTCCTAATGGCGGGAAAGTGTAAAATTAACCCCTTACACAGGCAGCCCAAGCTCACTATTAGAAAAACGGACGTGACTCTTACCGTGTTGCGCAACGCTTTATATTTATAAAGGTTTGCATGGGATGTTATCGGTTTGCTTTGAAAGAGAGAAAAAAATGTCTTGTTTTGAAATAAAATGGACTTACCTAATTGCCTTGTTGTTTTCTTTGTTGATTCCTAGCGTCTCAGGCCATTTTGAAGCGTTTTCGGCGAGTTAGCGCTGTTAGTGTTCAACTGCTAAAAGAAAGACAAGGTCGGAAACCTATTTTAGAAGTGTCCGTCGCCCGAAGCGAATAATTCCGCCAAAAAATTACCACCAGTCTCGATTCCTCCAGAAAATCAAAGCAGAGATGTTGCAGTTCCATTTCCATTCACTCCATTCCCAATTCCTCCAACAGATCTTTCACTAGCGATGCTTTTATCTCCAGATCGATCGTCCTTCCAATTTCGAATTTGTCTGGTTGAAACAGTTGTGGGCCCGTTCGCCGATCGCACAGTATGTCGGGTAACAAAAATAAGCCCGGCGAGGGTAGCCAGCGGCTTGCAGTCGACAAACAAACCAGTTAGCTCCCCTGGTCCCCTCGAGAGGTTTTGTCGAGACCGCATCGTTTAGATCGACCAATCAACATCGAATGGAAATGTCTTTCTTTTAGCAGTTGAACACCAACATAGCGCTAACTCTCCAAAAACGCTTCAAAATGGCCTGAGACGCTAGGAATTAACAAAGAAAACAACAAGGCAATAAGGTAAGTCCATATTATTTCAAAACAAGACATTATAACATCCCATACAAACCTTTATAATTTAAAGCGTTGCGAAACACGGTAAGAGTCAGTCCGCTTTTCTAGTAGTGAGCTTGGGCTCCCTGTGCCCCTTATGGTAAAAATTGACCAAATATTCAAGTCAAGACCGATGGAATTGATATCTCCCGAAAATCTACAATTTCAAATTGTTTACGCATGTCATTAATACAACCGTTCGCGTGACATATATCTATCGTTTTCTTCATTGAAGGAACATCAGCAAGTAGTATATTGTGAGTCAAAATTCATGGCACTTTACAAGCCCGAACCATTACTTCAAAATCCAATCTATTCTGTTTTCTTTCCTGATCTTTTACTTTTTGCATTTCATAATCAGTCATTTCTCGATCTCAAAAAAATACATGGCGAACTAAAACTGGTTTATGGACTTGTAATCACTTCAGAGTCTCCAGAAATGGGCCTGAAATGTTTATCTCTTGAGCTCTTAAATTCAGCTTCTACGGTAGAGAATTCTCAAATTGCTCGTGCATCGGGATGCTTTCATCCGGTTGAATCGAGAGATCTCTTACCTTGTTACTCAGTTAAAGATTTTCATGGAGCCCTCATCGATCTGTTATGGAAATCAAGATTTTTGATTTTAAATACAATTTGAATACTATTATAAGATCATTACGACAAAGAAGCGAAAGTAATAAGGAGAGGTTTATCATCAAAACAGGAAGCGATCTCATATCTCTTAAAAAACTGCCTGTCAAGCAGTTTGCTGGGAACAATACTGACATGCTCGTGCCAATGTAGTATTTCCTCACTTCCAGTAATTTTCTGTTTCGTAAACGATTTGCATGCTAATGAGATTAGGACCGAAGGCGAAAATAGTGTTATTTGACTGCGTTCCTTTGTCACCTATTTATTCATTCTCGTTTCAGAGCTTAATTTTCTCTATAGTTTATTGACATTTGGAACTTAGTTTTGAACACGTGCAAGATATCAACTTAGGCAATGCTGGGTGTCGAAACTGCCTTTCTGTTCCGTAATACCTGCGTCCACGTCAGCATTGGCCATTGTGTCACGGAACATGACTAAACATACTTAAGTCATTGTGGTTTCTTTAATTACATTTTCCAAAATTTTTAACATTAACGTAAACACTTCAGTAGTTGTTCAGGAGTGATGATCCTTAAATTAGCGATGCTGTCTAAGCGGATGTGACTATATCATTGACNTGATATACGATCCTGTCGATATAAGAATTTCAGTCTCAAAGTTGTAAGCGTCAGGCCTGATAGGGGGGTCCGGATCCCCCGTAACCCTCCCCCTGGATCTGCCACTGATTATATTTATCATCGTTATTATTATCATTTCAAGCTTTTTATGAAAACTTACCATAATTATTAGACATGTATTAAAGGAATATGAATTTGCAGTAACATTTACTTTAGGCATGTCTATATGTAATAGAAATTTGATCGCAAAGTTGCCAGATCGCAAAACTAGGACAAATCTTGTAGCAAAAAAGAAAACAATCATTTGACTACTAGGTTGCTACTCTAAAAGCAGAGTTGGATAGTTGACCAGACATCAAATAATCAGATACCTGACGCAAAGGGAAGGTAGCAGAGATTCTTTTTATCGAGAGAATTTCTAAGGTTTTTCCGCTATGCGATTCTTCTGACTATCTGTAAGCATATAGTAAAAAAAAAACTAGACTGTATCAATCACTCTGAAGGTAGGTATTTTTTATCATTTGCTTTTATGTATAAACGTATTTTATTGTAGAGTGCACTAAATGGAAGTAAATAGTCCTTTTTACAGTTGTGGGCTTGGTGGCCAAGCCTTTGAACAGGAATGAGGCTACTCTAGGGTGACCCTGTTATGATAGAGACCTGTATCTAGTTAGCATTATAACAAAGAAATTTGCATTTGAAAAGCAGCAACATCTCTATCATAACAAGGTCACCCTTAGCCTCACTCCTGTTCAAAGGCTTGGCCCCCAAGCCCACAACTGTAAAAAGAACTATTGCTCATGTATTTCAATTTGCAAGCTTTAATTAATGGTCATGCTTAACTTTTTCATTCCAGAGACTTATCGAATAACTTATTACGACGGATTCCCCACAACACTTTCAGGAATATGGATAAACTGAGAATAATGTAAGAATACCTTTAATTGTAATGAATGACTAGGGAGATATGTTTGTCTGATTAAAAGCATTTTCTGTCTGCAGCTGCAGATTGTCCTAACTCTTGCCAAGCTGGATAAAATTTTTTTGTGTAACTTTTTACATTTTTGTTATCTTTGGAACATTTTATGTGTTTTAATCAGCTTCTGTGATCTCGCTGATCTTAATACCTTAGCTTTTACAATCACCAATCTATGTACTGCTAAAAAAATCCTAAACTAAAGAGTAACTAAATGTACAACTTTTAGATTGGAAATGTGATATAAGTGTAGTGTTCTGAGCGTTCATATTTTTGGCATTAACTTTTGTTTCCTAGAAATCTTGCCAATAACTCGATTTCAGGGAGTTTCTACCTTCCGGAAAGTGTGTCTGAACTGTAAGTTTTGTTAGCAATATACGTTGGAAAAGATAAATGAAGTCATAGGTTGATTCTGATCTTTATCCTCAAATGATATTGGAGTTTTTAAAAGTGTCTTAAACAGATTGGTTTTTCGTCACATTTTATCTTTACATCGGATGCAGACACCGAAGACTGTCATTATGTGTGATACCGTGAGCAAATATGAATTTCCTCTTGAAGAAAAACGTCTGATTTGCAAAGTAATGACCCAGTATATTGAGACAATATTCACGGTTTTTTAGCTGGCTAATGTTTCCTTTCTAGCTTGGACACTAAGACGTTTTTCAAGTCAAAATTCATAAAAAATTACGAGGAATTACCTATGCTAACCCTGTCTAGGTTAACTCATGAAGAAGCCTCTATCTTATTTGCACAGCTTTATCAAAGACAACTTTTTATCAATCACTGACGCGAAAGTCATTCTTAAAGGAAAAATTCTACTTCGAAAACTGTAAGTATGATCTTAAATTCCATTCCACATACTTATAGACTCAGTGATATCAGGGGCGGATCAGGAATTTTTGATTGGGGGAGTCCAAACTTTGGATCAGGAAGGACTGTTGGACTCTTGAGGCAAATTACTTCTCCCCCACACCCCCTCCCACCAGTCGCGGTTGCACGTTAAAATTCCTTGGCTGCTTACCGTTTACTTGGATTCATTAAAAAACATCAGCCAGTTAAAAGTGATATACGATCCTGTCGATGCAACAATTTCAGTCTCAAAGTTGTAAGCGTCAAGTCTGATAGCGGGGTCCAGAACAGACTCCCCTAAACAGATGTCAACAACTACTCGCTCCATACAAACGACTCATTCACGACATAAACATCACAAACGACCGAAAAAGAACGACCTAACTTTACCGACAGATCGAAACAGACCAATGACGACCGACTTACGTCACTTGAGTCTTACAGCCAATAACATCACGGCAAAACCAACCGATCATTTCACACGAACTGGAATAAGAACATTCTGCTGACAACAATCATCCACTTGACTCTGATGATGACTTCCGCACAGGTTGTCGAAACGTCAGTCACTACCACCGACAACAGTCCTTCTCAGGACTAAACTCACCCGGACGATCAGACTACACCTTCACATGTTACCCCGGGGTTCAAGCCATTTACTGTATATCTGTTCAATTAGATCATTTATGCCTCTCGCTCGTTTTCATAAACTCATAGAGAGCATTAATTGCCAAGGCTTAGCTTTAGTTGCTGGGAGGAAGTTATAAAAATGCGATCAAAATTTTTCCACAGTTTGGCCAAACTCGTGGCCGTTTACTTGCTATCAACTCAACTGAATTACATTATCTACAATCGTGATTTGTTTCTAGCAAAGGCGAACTGCCTTGGGAGGAAAGGGAGTGGGAAAAACATTTTAGAACGAGGCTGGAGAAAAGGAAGCCCGAAACCTGGCGTGCTTTAATCACTTATAAGAGAGTCCCGTCTGTAAATTAAACTTACCCTGACCAGTTAGAAATTAACTGACTTGGCTAGCTGCATGGAATAATTTATTCCCTGTAGTTTTCAAGAAGTTGTCCATACACCATTCGGGAAAACTGTTTATTAAGGATATCCTGCTCACTATGTACTTTTACAGGGATATAGAATCAAATCCACTTGGACCTACTTTGCCATCTGACTTCTTCGCTGGCTTTCGCAAGATGAATAGACTGTAAGTTAGTAGCTCTAGAAACTCCTCGAATGACTTCAGAACTTGTTAGAAAACGCCATGTGCGATTGTAATAGGCCACCACAAATCCGTGTTGATTAAAGCCCCGGCTATTGATAAAAAATTTTCATCCAAGTGCACGCTTTACCGATTCGCCACCTCTCTTAAAATTTCCTTCAGATTGCATTCCATGTTTTACATGGCTTTAAAACATCTTTTGCCGGGCATTTTGCTTCATGAACGGTCGATTATGCTCCTTTTCGTCAATTGTAATTTTTTTTCGCAAAAGTAGACCGTACTTATAACCGCGCCTCAAAATTGATCTTTAATCTTTAATCTTATTTTATTTATATAGCGCCTGGTCCTTAGGAAGATGCTCCCAAGCGCTTTACAATAATAGAAAAAGTTATTAACGAGTAAAATCAATCCATGGAGTGAAGAGAACTAATTACAATTAAATATCTACAATAATAATGATAATATCAC